ATCTCCCCAAAACCCCAAAACCCCAAAACCCCAAAATATATTTAAAATTGGCAATTATATAATTACAAATGGAAGGGTATTTTATGAATAACCTAAGTCAAAGAGGTACATCCGTAGGAATTAGATGCTTAATGCCACCTCACAGAGCTAATTTAGGCCTCGCTTAATATATTACCTGGAGTGACCGCTCATACTCTCAATTATAACTCTTAAATTTGTCTATGGCTTTTTATTCATATGAAAAAACAGGAGGTTTCATTTTAAGCCTGAAGTCCAGCTTACATTCCTAAAGTTTCATTTTTATTTAAACATGAGATTGTAGAGAGCAATACTCTGTTTTCATAATTTTTTTATTAAGGAATCTAAATCCCGAGAATGTATTTTAACCATTTGATACAGTGAAAACATCTCAAGAGAGTCCGAACAATACAGAAGGATTGCTATTCCGTAAAGTCCACAGGTGTTTAAAATTGCTTATATATTAGATATTTCAAAGAAGAAAGATCACCGAATATAATCTTTCATAATCCAGTTTTAAAAAGCCAGAAATAATTTGTTCAGTAAAGATAGCAAAGAGGATAATTTTTCAGTAACATTTGATAAGGCTTTTGCTGAGAAATCATTCAAGTAACATCAATGGATAAATATAGGCTTGATAAAATCCTTTTTGATCCAAACTTTGGAGTACATCCAAGCTTTATGCTATAGGACATAATGTCTGTTACTCAAACTAATAGAACATATACAAGTCAAGCTAGGGAAGACTCGAATGCTACAATGTCCGCAAGGAAGAAGCAGAGCTATAAAAATTTGAGACGCTTTATGGAACGAAAGAAAAAGCCTAAAATTTATAAGCCTCCAACTGTTCTTCAAGCCTCTGAGAATGAAGGTAAAACTGCTTAATACCCAATTTTTTAATTAAAACAACTCTTTAGGCTTATCCACTACAAGGCTGACTCATAGCCGAGGAACCACTGTCTCCAAAGCCAGCCAAAGAGCAACAAGCATCCGTTTAATGAACTCTCCTCTCGAAAAATCCCCTCAGCACCCTCCCAAACCCTCCAATCCAAGTAAGCCACTATCCTTACCCCTAGCTCATCGGCCAAAACGAGACCTGTCCCACCTCGTTCTCCGGAGGTACTGTCCCTCTAACCCCATAGGCTGACCAAAATCCTTACCTAAAAAGACATCCCCTCTACTACTCCCTTTCAATGACACCCAATTTATCAACACCAATTTCCAAAAGATCAAAACCAAAATATTTAATAAGAAAAGAGAGGCTATGAAGAAGAGATTGAAGGCGGATTTGACTGAGATTAAGAAAGTCAAGAGTAAGATAGAGGATTATTGTAGGCAAATAGTAAAGAGAAATGGAAGAAATTTAACCAAGAGCATGGTCTAGAAGGTACTTCTTACAAATTAACAATTCTTAGAACAGGACGATTCCATAGTTGAGAAGAAACTCCCCAAACGTTCAGATCGCCCAGATCAGAAATTCAGCCGTAAAAGGGACAAAATTTGGCAAAGTGACAATTTTTACAAACCAAGTAAGTTATTTTAGACTATTTTAGACCCGAAGAAGAGCTATAAGGGTATGAAAATGTCTAAAACGAAAACGTGCCTGAATCTGACGACTTCGAATATGCCGATGCATAGTCCTTTACTCTCAAAACGTTAGAAAGTTGTTTGAAATTTGTAAAATTTTTAGGAAATTTTGGAATCCTGGGAAATTAAGTTTCGTATCTGAAGATTTATTCGCAGTGTTGAGGAGATGTGAGAGTTTCAGGGGTTTTGGGGTTTTGGGGTTTTGGGGTTTTGGGG